GACTGGGTTCAGACCTGCCAGCCCCGGTATATGTGGCTGTCACCCTAACCACTGAGCTACGGGCACTGAGCCTAAATAGAATACTATTTCATTTAGTTCCCTCCATATTTTTGATTATGATGTATGTGTTTAGCTCAAAGATTGGCCTTTCTTACAACTTGAGAACTGTGTGTTTATGCCTTTCTGAACAAATGCAAGGGTTGCCTGAATCATACATTGAGGCAGGCACTGATACTGAAGAAGTAGGGAAGTGATCTAGTTCAGACTCTGAGAGTTTTGGTGAACTAATTGTTTTCCCAAATAGAGGCTCTCACACTTTAGGAAGCATTTTGTTCTGTCTTAAATAATACTGTATTTCAACCTGTTGGGAGAAGCTAGCCATTTAGTGGTGTTTTGGTAGTTCTCCTAAAAGGAGAATTTTTAAGTTGATACTTAATAATTGTGCATGTTAAATCAGGTGTGGTGGCTCACACCTATAATTGTGATACTCTGGGAGGCCAAGGTAGTTGGATTGGTTGAACTCAGGGGTTTGAGACCAGCCTGAGTAACAGTGAGACCCCCATATCTACTAAAAATGGAAAACTGAGGCAAAAGGATCACATGAGCCCAAAAGTTTGAGGTTGCTGTGAGCTGTGATGGCACAATACTCTACTGAGGGTGACTGAGTGAGACTCTGTCTCAAAAAAAAAAAAAAAAGGTACATGTTTATTAAATACATGTGCTCAATGTGTAATGATCAAATTAGGGTAATTAGGATAGCCATCAAGCAGAATGTTCTTGAGATAGATCACATCTCTTCCTGGATTTTATCCTACTAAAGTTCTTTTCCCTTTCTGTTAGCATCTTGTCATCCCTAAATGGAAGGAATATGATTTGATTAGGAGGTATTGATCTTAATAATCACTGGATGTTTTAAGAAAACAAATGACTTGGCAGCTAGGATATTGTTACCTGCTGTCAGAGAAATGACCTGGAAAAGATTATAGAACTTATGCAAACTTGAATAACAGTTCATCTCTACATATGTATATTTACAAATTACCTCATACATTGAGCTCTATTAGTATGTCATAAATGAGGAAAATAAGCTAGTATATGGTAGAGGAATTTACTTATTTATTTTTGAAACAGAGTCTCACTTTGTCACCCTTGGTAGAGTGCTGTGGAGGCATAGCTCACAGCAACCTCAAACTCCTGGGCTTAAGCAATTCTCATGCCTCAGCCTCCCAAGTAGCTGGGACTACAGGTGCCTGCCACAGCCTGGCTATTTTTACAGATGGGGTCTCCTTCTGGCTCCGGCTGGTCTCAGACCTCTGAGCTCAGGCAATCCACCTGCCTCAGCTTCCCAAATGATGGGATTACAGGAGTGAGCCACTGCCTGGCCCATGGTAGACAAATTTAAAAGGACTGGACCATTTTCCTGGGGAGGAGCTAGGGAGAGGAGAGCACATATTCACATTTTAGTCAATGAAGGTATAGTATTTTTACTGTACCTTTTCTTTGTTTAGGTACATTTAGATACACAGACACTTGCCATTGTATTACAGTTGCCTATAGCATGCAGTACAGTAGCATGCTGTACAGGTTTGTAGCCTAGGAGAAACAGGCTATACTCTACAGCCTAGGTGTGTAATAGGCTGTACCGTTTGCACAATGATGAAATTGCTGGATGATGCTTATCTCCGATTGTATCCCCGTTGCTAAGTGATGCGTGACTGTGTATATGTGTTGAAGTATAGGTCTTCTGTCAGAAGGAAGGGTTTACTTTTACACATTCGGGGATATTTCTCCTTGGACTTGTGTACCCGTTAGTATAGTCTTTTTTGGCTTTGTCATCTTAATGATCGCGTGTTTGTGACAGGAGTCCTTGTAAACTCCTTAGGCTGTCCCTCCACTGACTGAAAAAGAAGGGTAGGGGAGGGAAGATCACCCACCGCTACCATGTTGAAGTAGAAATAACAGCTTGTTCCTGGGGAGGAGCTAGGGAGGAATTCTGTTTGATATTTGAAGAACCTTCCGTGACTGGGTTTTTTCCCCTTGGTTTCTCCTTCAACTGATAGTTTCCTTATAATTTCTTCTCTAGGACCCTGACATCCTAATGGGGTCTCCGTGAGAGTCTCTCTCTACCCCTCCTCACTCTTCTCTCTCTGCTCCTTTCTCCTCTGTTCTCCCCTTCCCCAACCAGGCCACCTGAGCTGCATTTCCTTCCCACCTAACGAAGAAAAGTACCTCCAGCAGATTGTGGACTGCCTCCCTTGCATATTGATCCTCGGCCAGGACTGTAATGTCAAGTGTCAGCTGTTGAACCTGCTGTTGGGGGTGCAGGTGCTTCCCGCCACCAAGCTGGGCAGCGAGGAGAGCTGTAAGCTCCGGCGCCTCCGCTTCACCCATGGGACTCAGACTCGGGTCAGCCTGGCACTCCCTGGAAAGTATGAACTAGTGCACACACTGGTTGCTCACCAGGGCAACTGGGAGACCATCCCTGAGGAGGATCTGGAGGTCCAAGAGGACAGTGAGGATGCTGCTCATGTTTTAGCTGAACTGGAGGTGACGATGCGCCATGCTCTCTTACAGGTACCAATCTCATGCTGAAATTCCGATTGTACACATTTATACTAGCTTTTCTTTTATTTTTGCTTTCTCATAAAGTGATTTGGTGATATATGCTCTGGTCTCTGAGGAGCTGCCGATGAGTCAGAGAAACAATCTAGGAAGTTGACCAACAGACAAGGCTGTAGAAATGCCCATCCTCGCTTCGGCTTACCGTGCTGCAAGGCCCTGAGTAAGCTGTAAGGCTTTTCTCCTTGTCTCCTTATCCTCCTTTCTTTTTTTTTTGAGACAGAATCTCACTATGTCCCTTAGAGTGCCGTTGTGTCACAGGTTACAACAACCTCAGTGATTCTCTTGCCTCAGCCTCCCACAGGCACCAGTCACAATGCCTGGCTGTTTTTTTGTTGCAGTTGTTGTTTAGCTGGCCCTCGCCAGGTTCAAACTCGCCAGTCTCAGTGTAACCATGTGCTATGGGCGCCGAGCCTATAGGATAATTATAATCAAAGTTAGAAATTCTTTTTCATTTCTTAGCAGGAAGATACTGCTAGAATCATCTCTAGTCACCTCTTTCTAAAAGGAACAATAAGATGATGGATAATGTTCTTATTAGAATTGAGACCAGCTGAAGAATTCTGTGGGTTTTTCTTTAGATTAAACCATTAGTTTACTAAGTGGGACAGATCATTTCTCCTACTCTGTAAGGAACTGGGGACATGAGGACAGATTGGGCTTGATGTAAGGAGGCATGAAGGCCCCATCATTTGAAGACAATTTAAACTTTTCTCATGAAGTAAACTCTTAAAGAGAGCACAGATCTTTTGGCATCTCCTAAGAGACCACATTGTCTATCTGGTATTCATACACCCACCCACTTAGGAAGGACTACCCCTTTTCTCGGCTTCCTCTCCTGCACAGCTAGGACTGGGCTATTTGATTAGACCAACTGAGGATGTGACCGTGTCAGGGGTCAGGAGTGGGCGGGAAAGAATGCTGATAAGCTCAGAGTAGAGAGCTCATCACCTTAATTAGCTGTGCCAGGAAGGACAGGCTAGTTTGGCAGGACCTAGGAGAGTGTTTTCTTCTTTCTTATGTCCTCCTCATCTACCCTTCTTCTCAGAGGCTTGGTCTCTCAGTTGGTGAATGAGTCCTTTGGTTGTGACCATGGCCTGTGACACTCTAGAAGTAAAAACTGGTTTTATTTCCTTCCCCAATCCCTATTTCTTTTATCTTAACAAATGCTAAAGGGGGCTATGTAACAAGCCCCGGTTCTGTCAGCTCAGTTTCAGTCGTGAGTTTCCTGTGCTTTTAGAGCTCCAAGGGTAAGGTGAGTATTCCTAGTTAACTCTGACAGTAGGTCTAGCAGTAATCCTTGTTTATTGACTGAGGCCTGTTTAGTTGACCCATGAACTTCTTCACAATTCATAGGTACTTGATCCATATACAATCTCTATGTAGAATACTGTCCTGGCTTAGTTCCTTAAAGCTTCTGATAGCTCAGTGGTTTTAAAACTTTTTTAGATTATATTTCACTATAAGAAATACATTTTCTGGCTGGGCGTCTGTGGCTCAAGTGACTAAGGTGCCAGCCTCATACACCTAAGGTGGCGGGTTTAAATCCAGCCCCGGCCCACCAAACAACAATGACGGCTGCAACCAAAAAATAGCTGGGCGTTGTGGCAGGCGCCTGTGGTCCCAGCTACTTGGAAGGCTGAGGCAGAAGACTCGCTTGAGCCCAGGAGTTGGAGGTTGCTGTGAGCATTGAAGCCATGGCACTCTACCCAGGGTGACAGCTTGAGGCTCTATCTCAAAAAAAAAAAAAGAAAAGAAAAGAAAAGAAATACATTTTCTTTCAGTACCAAGTCAATATATAAATGTTATATAAATGTATACATTTCAAATAATTCAAGTTTCATGAACTGATTCTTTTGCTTTCTGTAGTACAATACTGATATTTTTTCTGATAAAAAAATACTAATTTTTTTCTTTATTCTTCTTTTTTTTTTTTTTTGAGGCAGAGTCTTAATTTCTTGTCCTCAGTAGAGTGCTGTGCTATCATAGCTCGCAGCAACCTCAAACTCTTGGGCTCGAGTGATTCTCTTGCCTCAGCCTCCCAAGTAGCTGGAACTAAAGGTACTCGCCACAGTGCCTGGCTGTTTTTTTATTTTTATTTTTGAGATAGAGCCTCAAGCTGTCGCCCTGGGTAGAGTGCTGTGACATCACAGCTCACAGCAACTTCAAACTCTTGGGCTTAAGCGATTCACTTGCCTCAGCCTTCCAAGTAGCTGGGACTACAGGCGCCCACCACAGTGCCCAGCTATTTTTTGTTGCAGTTGTCATTGTTGTCTAGCTGGCCCAGGCCAGGTTTGAACCTGCCACCCTTCGTGTATGTGGCTGGTGCCGTAACCACTGTACTATAGTTGCCGAGCCCCCTTCTTGCCTTTAAAAAATCTTGGAATGTGACAAAGCTGTCAAGAAAATTATTTCACTGCTTTTCTGTCTCTTCATTTTATTGGTTTAATTTCCTAATGTTCATTTCCTTTGTTCCATGAATTGAGGTTATACAAGAAAGTCACAGGAAGAAAAGTGGGAGTTGTTCCCCAAATGCATATCTGGGTACATATCTTGCTACTAAGAGCTCCCAGTGCCTGTCCCGATAGGTGCTAAGCAGCTAAGCATGCAAACTGAGGGAACAATTGAGGAGGCTACATGTGTGGGACATTGAAATACCAAATCTGCCTTCTCTCAGCACGGTTAAAAAAAACCAAAAAAGATATACATATGTATGTATGTGTGTATATCTTTTTTTGCCCCCTCTTTGAGCAATTCTCTTGCCTTTCATGTTATTTCATGTGGTTTGTGAGGCTTTCTTGGCTTGGCCAGTATTTCTCAGGATCTGCTTTATTCTCCAGTGATTTTGATGTAGAACTAGGAATAGACCCTCATGGTTCTAAGTTTAGAATCCTTTGATCCTGACTCTCAGAGGGCCGTGTGGACTTTGTGGAATCTAGGCACTGCCCTCTCACCACAGTCAGGCTTCAATACATTAAGTACATCTGTGATGCCCAGGGCACTGTGGGGAGCATTGCACAGATACCTGAAAGATTGTTCATGGCAGCAAGAAAGATCTTTTTGTTTAGCTCCAGTTATATTTAGGATCAGTGAGTTAGTTCTCAACAGCCCTTCTGTTTGATTTGTTAAGGGGGTAGTAAAGAAAGGAAACATTTAGCTAAAGGAAACCAAGATTGAATTAGGGGAAGTGCAGTGCTCATTTTAACTGTCAAATAATCAAAGCAGAATTTCCCCCTGCCCTCTTATACAATGGTCATTCTTCTAATGTTATGTTAAAGTCCTCATAAATTAACTGTTTTCAGCTTGTTCTAGAATAGGCCAACTCACATGGACCCACACTGCTTGGTATTCCCAGCTTTTTAGTTCTGGATGCCCTGAGATTCTCAGTTCATAATTTAATAATAGATGAACACTGTCAAGCCATTAGTATCTGAAACCTCATTTAGTGTTAAAATATATTCATTTTTTAATTGCCAGTACATTTCACCATTCACTGTGTTCACTAGTTCTATCTTTACACGTAAAAGTACTTCTCCTTCCCCACTCTCAACCCCTCTTTCTAGCACATACATCTGCCACCTCCTTTTCTGTCTTCTTTCTTCTTAAGAAAGATTTTTAAAAATCTGGTAGAAAACTTATCTGTCTTAGAGATGCTCGATCTGATATATATGTGTACGTATTTTTTTTCCTTGTGAACATCTGTTAAGAAAAAGGAATAAAAAGCAGCAGAGGTAATTAAATTTGTCCAGCCTGAGAGGGGATTCCTGCAGCCTGGCAGCAGTGTTTCATTTACTGTGGTAGTTACATAGCTTCAGTTGTCCTCTTATCAGTAGCCTACTTACACCCACCAAGTGCTTTTGGCCCTTTGGATAAATGTACATGCCACTTGGCAGCCAGACTGCCACACATTGACATGGTTATTGGCTCATAGAGATATCCAGTGAGGTGTGTTTCAGGGAACTGAGGTAGACTAGTATTTCCAGGCAAGGTTAATAACTTGCAAGTAAACTTATTAATATCTTTTTTAACTATTTTTAACTCTTTTTATTTATTTATTTATTTTTAATTTTTAACTCTTAACAGGTTAGAATAGTAAAGTTGTTTTTTTTTTTTTTTTGAGACGGAGCCTCAAGCTATCCCCCTGGGTAGAGTGCCATGGCATCACGCTCACAGCAACCTCCAACTCCTGGGCTCAAGCGAGTCTCCTGCCTCAGCCTCCCAAGTAGCTGGGACCACAGGCGCCCGCCACACACCTGGCCATTTTTTGGTTGCAGCCATCATTGTTGTTTGGCAGGCCCGGGCTGGGGATTCGAACCCACCACCTTAGGTGTATGTGGCTGGCGCCTTAGCCGCTTAAGCCACAGGCGCCGAGCCTTAAAGTTTTTTTAATAACCCTTGATTAATAGCTTTCAGTGTAAATCTCTTTTTAATATCACAGATATTGATATTTATTAATTTATTTAAAATAATTTTTTTTTTTGAGGCAGAGTCTCATTTTCTTGCCCTTGGTAGAGTGCCATAGCTCACAGCAACCTCAAACTCTTGGACTCAAGTGATTCTCTTGCCTCATCCTCCCAAGTGGCTATACTATAGGTTCCCACCACGATGCTCAGCTATTTTTGGAGATGGGGTCTCACTGTTGTTCACGCTGGTCTTGAACCTGAGAGCTCAGGGCAGTCCACCGCCTTGGCCTGCCAGAGTGTTAGGATTATAAGCATGAGCCTCTGCGCTCAGCCTTATTTATTTAGTTTTTAGTGATGAGGTCTTGCTTTTGCTCAGGCTGATCTTTTTTTATTTTTATTTTTTTTAGACGGAGCTTCAAGCTATCCCCCTGGGTAGAGTGCCATGGCATCACGCTCACAGCAACCTCCAACTCCTGGGCTCAAGCGAGTCTCCTGTCTCAGCCTCCCAAGTAGCTGGGACCACAGGCGCCCCCCACAACGCCTGGCCATTTT